AAACTATATTACTTTTCAATAAAATAAACTGAATTAAGTTTGAATACAGGTTTATTTTAAGCTTTTATATTGATTTCTTTCAGCCATTCGAAGTAATTTATTAAGCAGCCTATTTCTTTTAATTTCTGCAAACTTTTTTTATGCAGTTTTAAGTTAATTTTAACTCGTTGTTTTGGTTTTATGCGATTTTAGAAAATTACAGAACGTATCCCTACTTTTTCAAGGCAAGTAAAGTCTTTTTTTATGCGAATTTTTTATATGCGCTTTTCTGTAGAACGTATCCACCGCATAAAACGAGACCTTACAGTAATTAGTTGTGCATTTCCTACAGCATAGCCACCTCTCAATCTCTATGACTTTTGATTGTAAGGATATATAAAAACAAATCTGATGTATAAAGGACATGTTCCTAATTTTGAACTTTGAAAGCTAATAATGGTGCTCTTTAGAAAAATTAATTTAGATCTGTTGCACTCTGCTGTAGAAAATATCATTTAAAGAATGCAGTTCATAGAACATCTAAAAAGAAGGACATATTGAATCACACCTGTAAGTTAAACAAACATGAATATTAATCGTACACTGTACCAAAAAGGAAATCAATTTGTAGTGTTGCTTTTAGCTATTACTCTTTAACCACTCCCAAGTTTCATGTGCTTCCAGGTCCACATTTCTCCTAATAGTGAAATTTTGACTGTTATTTCTTTATATATTGAAATCCTAAGTTTCAAAGAGAGTTTATGCCAAATTTGGTCAAGTTTCATCCAATAGATGTTTTGATACAGTCACCCTTTGTAGTCACACTGTATATTAAATAGGGAGACAATTAAAATAAACTTGAATTTCAATTATTAAATTCAAATATTTAAAAGTTTAATTTAAATAGATTTTAAAATCTTAAGATTGTTGTTTTATATTTACCATTTATTAATTATTCAATAAACTGTCAGACTTTTTAAAATAGTCTTAAAAAATTTTTTATTCAACAGAATTGCAAATATGCTACTCAAGCAGCAGCACAAACATTATCTCAGCCACCACCTTTGCTGAAACAAGATCCAAAGGTTTTTATTTCACTTAATTTTTTAAATTTTATATAAAATAAATTTTTCAACCAGAATTTATAAATTCATAGATTACCAATTTACCTAATGGGAAAACTATAGCTTCTATAGAAAATTATTCTCCTGTTTCAAGAATAACTGTTTTAGTGAAGGCAGGACCACGTTTTGAGAATGATGATAATCTTGGAATTTCCCATTGCTTGAGAAATGCAGCAGGATTGGTGCATACAGATTTTGAAATATTTTTATAAATGTGAGTAATTAATAATTTCAATAATACATTATTGTGTTTTTTATTTTTTTACAGTCAACAAAAAATAAAACAGTTTTTGGTATCACCCGTAACATTGAATATGTTGGAGGAAGATTAACGTATGTTCTTTATTTTGCCTTAAAAGTATATAAAATTTTCACTATGCTATAATTATTGTTCTTTCCATAGTGCTTCTGCTGACCGGGAACATGTTATCTACTCACTAGACTGCTTACGTGATGATTTGTGAGTATTATTTTTTTTTAATGTTTCAGTTAACACTCTTAATACAGTATAAATAAATTGAATTGTATTTTGAGTATTTGCTGAAATATCAGTGAAGCTAAAAATATTTTAGTGTGAATAATTACTTCTAATTTCTGTGTAAAATGAAAGTAATGAGTGAAAATTTATTTGCATTATGTAGGAAACATTTGTGTCCATAAAAACAAGATACTTCTGTGTTTTTGTCAAAAGAAAATACAGTAAATTTTGGTTAATAGAGCCATTAGTTAATCAGGACAGCGGTTTTGTTTGGAACAAAACTTAGAAAATAATCAAAAGTTGTTTCAGTTATTTCAGACTCTGTACTGTTTAATTGAGACAGTGACTACTAGATTGTGTACTTGTGACGTGACATGGAGGCTATTACTGAGCCATTGCCATTTCATCTAGTTATAAGCACATTTATATTCAGATATTGTAGTGACTCTGATTACAGTGTGCCAAGGAAGAAGGAATGTGTTGAAATGAGAGCATGAAGGAAAAGATATAGACATTGAGGAAGTCCTCAATCAATGGTTTTGTTGTTATTGGACAAGGTTTTCTAGTAATCTAGTGCCGAAAACTAAGAAAAGTTAACTAAAAAGCTGGATCACAAAGATTTTAAAGCACCAGAGGATTGGTTGTCTCAATAGAAATCTATGCATGACATTAAACTACAGGTCAAGAAATACAGGTCATGATAAATGCTGAATGACATAAATCCATAAAACTGTACATACTTAAAAAACTTTGTACAGATGACATCTACATTATATAGCCAGTCATGGGCCACCCCTTTGTTTTGGGCGAGTTCTTTCTAATCAATGTGATACTATGCAAATTAGGGCAATGCAAGACATTTGGAGTGATGGAAGCAACACTGTGATTGGAACTGTGGAGCAGTGGAAACAGTGAATCGCGCTACATGATCTGGCACTCAGATGGACATGGCAGTTACCAGGTGAATGACATTCACTGGAGTGTTGTGCAAACTTTGAAATTTGGTGGTGGTGATGATGATGATATGGTCTGGGACTGTTTTTCCTGGTATGGATATGGGTCATTGGTTTTGGTCAAGAGTATAGTGAATGCTAGTGTTTACCAAGACATTCTTGATAACAACATGCTTCCCACATTGTGGCAGAGGTTTGGAACTGGCTTTTTTCTGTTCCAGCACAATGCTCCAGCCCATAAAATAAGGTCCTATTAAGTTTGGATAATTGATTATATATTCCTTGGAACCAGTCATAAAATTGCTACAGGAACGAGTCTTTAAAACCAATAAAAGCTGGTTAAAAGTTTTATGTTTTTATTCATTTTATTGGTCAATTTTTTTTACATTTTAACAAAAATTTTTATTTTACAGTTGTACTTATTTTACCCCATGTTTTTAACAATTAGTTATTCCAGTAGTCACATTAGTTATATTTTTAGGACTGAAGAGGGGCATATGGCCCAAAATGCATATCCTTTGTAAAAAAATAGAAAAAAATCCACTTTTTCCATCAAGAAGAGTGCTCCTGTGTGATAAGTTCTCAATAACAATTTTATGCTTGGTTCCAAGAAACATACATACAACCAATTGAGAGAACAGCATGCAAACAAGTAATTGGATAATTGAGTTTTCACTGTATTTATATATCGGATTGGAGAAGTAATTTTGAGATCATATTTTCAAAATAACTTAGCCTGTTTATGGGAATGCATTAAACCATGCATTAAACTTTTTTGTGAATTTTATTCTTTCTATTATATGCAATGGTATTTAGGAAAATAATTGTTCTCATTGATGTTTTAAGTGGCACTTTGAGAAGTAATTTACTCATCCCAAATTTGACAACTTTGAAATTCCCACATATTGTATTTTCCATAATTATGTAAAAATGTCTCAAAAATTTAAAAGCAAAGTCAAAGAAATCAAGAAGTTCAAATATTCAGAAATAGAAAACAATTTGTCTAAGAGTTCACTCAAATGAATTTCTTTCATTACTGTGCTAAAACATTCAATTTAAACCAGTGGTTTCCAAACTTTTTTAACTGTCAATTCCTTCAGACTCCTTGACCTCTTATCAACCTTCTCTTTGTTTTGGCTAATGCAGCTAATAATAAACAAATAAATCTGGCAAGACAGTATTAATCCACATATCATTTTCATAGTAAAGATCTACTTATCATGTCCAAATTTGCAATATGCTGAACTGTCACATACATAATCCATTGAAAATGGTTTATTAAAAATTATTAGTCCAATCAATCTCACTAATTTTTTACCCCTGATCCAAACCACGAGATATTTAAATATTCCTATCATTGTGAGTGGCAAATGGAAATTTACATTTTTACATATTGTAATCTGTATCATTACATGAATATGTTCACTCTTTAAATTCATGTGGTAGTCATAATGTATTTTTTAACTTCAGTTTTATTTAAAATTCAGTAATAATTTAGTTTAAGCTTGTGATAAAATCTGTGCTGCAGGTTTTACAAGTCTTCAATATTCTTCAAGTTAAGTTGTCCTTGCAGGTGTGGATAAAAACCAATGTAAATTGTAATTAAATTAGCTTAACTGATTTGAATCTTTCAATTGGCATTTTATTTTCTTAGGTTATAATTAGATTTATAATATATATTCAGATTTTATAGTAACTGTACAAAATTTATTAAACAAAATTATTTTTTAATAATTTAGTTTCTAATGGAATAAAGAAATAATTTTTTTAGGATCAATATAATTTCAATTACAAAATGTTTTAATAGTAATGATTCTATGTAGAGCATAATTTTGATTGTAAACTTCAGAAGAGGTTATTAAATATTTGTCTTAACTTTGATAAACTAGGGACAAAACTGTTGGATTTTTAACAGAGGTTATATCTAATCCTGCTTTCAAACATTGGGAACTTAAAGACTACTTGCCAAGAATGAAAGTAGAAGTTGCTAAACATGTAAATAATCCAGAAACAGGTAATTGTTTGTAGATAATTTATTATTTTCTTCAATATCCAATATAGAGTTTGTATTAATATTAACAATCTGTATTAACAGTTCTCATGGAATCAATACATAAAGCAGCTTTTCGTGGTGGTTTAAATAACTCTCTGTTTTGCCCTGAATTCAAATTGGGATCACACACAACTGAAATGGTAGTGTATTATTTTATCTTTTTTTGATGCTTATTCATTTAAATCATGGTTAAAAAGTCACTCATACATCACACTCCAGCAGTTTGCTGAAGTGTGATGTATGAGTCATCATTATTCATTTCTCAGCACATTTTAATGTAAAAGTTTGTCATAATATGCATATATTTTGATAGATATATATTTATTAAATACCTACCTAAATTAGTTGTGTGTTTATAGTTTGAGACAAAAATGATTCTTATTTCAGGTGATGATGATAGCACCATTACAATGTGGTTCTATTTTTTTTATCTTTAAAATTTAGTTTCTTAATTTTTGCATTACATAAATTTTCCCATAAATGTTGCACATAGCCAATCAACACCGTTAATTTTAAATATAAATATGTTAATAAAACAAAACTAAGGATATTTAGAAATCAATATATATAACTATAATGAAAACAAGTACAATTCACATAGCATTAAATTCCTTTTATGTTGCAGTCTATATGTCATATGTATATACTAGTGTTGTAACGAATAGTATATTCGGCCTCAGGCCGAATACCGAATATTCGGTCAGGAGCGTGGCCGAATAGCCGAATATTCGGCCAAACTATTCAGCTCGATTAACGCACGTACGAAAATTGGCGCGCAAACCTCATTATGGCAAGGACCCTGCTCTCTATTGCCCGCTGTCACTACACTTCGCCAATCGCGTTAATTCTTGGCAGTTGTAGCGAACAGACAAGAGTGTTATGGAAGTATGTGATAAATGATTATATCGAATGTGGATAACAATGAAATGACCAACACGTGTAAATAACGGAAAAAGAACAGAGAAGGACCGCAAAGTGAAAATGTGAAAATAGATATGAAATTGAGTTGATAACATAATCAAACAAGTCGAGGCAGCTTATTGGCACGAAATTCGCGGCCGTCAATGCCAAACAATTGTTGTCATAGACTTCGGAAAGCTAAATGCTTGTAATGAAAGTCACTTAGCGTGCACGGGCGAAAG